CTGCTGCTGGCGTTGGCCTTACGATCTCCAGGCTCTGTGGCAACGCAGGACAAAGCTAATGAGCAACGGTGTGAAGTGCCAGGGCTATCGGCCACGCACCCTTGAGAACCAGGATTCTCAGCGTAGAGAAAGGAGGCACAGATGTAAGAGAGAAGAGGTTAAGTAAAATCCCCTGTAGTTTTCAGTTTGAATAGAAAGTATCAGTATGAACACAGGAGGTATTTTTATCACAAACGACAGCCACACATTTCCTAGCTCTGTCCACTGAAGAGGCCTAGAAGTGATGACCAACTCGGGAACAATAGCATCCCCACGTGCCCAGAGTATGGCTTCTAAAGACCATTTCTCTCAGAGAAACCAAGAATCCCTGGAGGAATGGCTGATTCCAGGTCTGGGGCAGGGCCTGGAACGTCTTTGCTTCCTTGTTATATGAACAACATCAGACTAGTACTAGGGTCACGTGAGAAGGTGACAACTGGCCAGAGATAGCACAATTCAACCATCAATAACAATAATAAACAAAATGGATTAAAACACATCAACTGTGTTTAAATCTACAAGTTTATAAAGATACTAAAAACAGAACAAAAAAATCCTACTTGGCCAACATTGGACAATGATAATAAAACACTCATTATTTTGAAAGCTGGCAAATAAAGGGGAGGGTCAAACATTTATCCTATCTTTCCCATATTACTAGGTAATCAAGTAATAGGGGTATTCGATTATTTGCATTCCAGCTAATCAAAGAAGAAAGGGTGATAAGATTAGACCACCACCGTTTTATGACCCCTGATTCACTAGTGGACATAAGCAATAAACACCAGTGGCTGCTAATACTACAAAAAGAGAGACAACTAGACATTATGATCTTCTCACAAAAGAGCACAGTGCAATCTAAGAAGTAGTGTTGCCCACAAAAATCAAACGTAAATATGATTAAATATCCAAATCAAACTGCCAATTTATAGGAAATACAGATGGTAGAAGAACATATTAAATAGCACCACAAGGCTGCACTCAGAAAATTCCAGACTGTGGGAATCTCTACAGGACAAAGACTCCAATTTCTTCACCAAATAAATCGCAAGGCAGCAGGGAGAGGAGCAGGGAGATGCAGAAGAAACCTGTAGACTAAGAGGCACATACAAGGCAGGTCAGTCTACCGGAATGTGCGGCTCTTATCTGGATTCTGATTATAAATAGGGGTTTAAAAAAAGGCATTTACGGAACTATTAGAAATTCAAATACTTGCCTGACATTTGATGATATTTAGAGATTATTGCTATTTGTTAAGGTGTGATGATGATACTGTGGTAGTGAAACCAAAGGGTCAGTTTCTTTTAGGGACACGTACCTAAGCATTTACAGATAAAATTATCTAATGTCTTGGTTTATACATATGTGAAAATACACACACACACACACACACACACACATATATGTACTTAAATTTGCTTGAAAAGTAAGGGGGAACACAGATAGAACGAGGTCAGTCTTGTATTGACTGCTGAGGCTGGAAGAAGGTCCATAAAGATTTGTTGCTCTGCTCTTTCCACTTTCCAACATTTACAAGTTTCATCATAAAACATTCAAATAAATCGTTCCTAATGTCATGCTCAGAGAGATAACACCAGGCTTAGTGCATCATATTCTGACCAGTATCCCTTTCCTGGCGCAGGAGTAATGAAGAGTTGAGCTTTGTGCTTTAGGCCATTCATCTAAGGAGTGTCTCCATCACCCATGGAGCTTCTCCATCTCCCTCCTCACCAGGATAGGTCGCTATGTGTTCAGGAGCATATACACATACATATACTAAAGCCCATCAGAAAAAAAAGATTTCTCATGACAAATATTTTGCTTTGAAGCTGCCAAGGGTCTGAAAGACTCGTCATTTCATACAAAGACACTAAACTCCATAGAGGAAAATCTTCCTGGTACAGCATTCAGTGGAGTTCATGACCAGGGTGAAAGAAAAGATAGTTATCGTGTTGAGGTTGGCGGGTGTTTCCATCCTAAAGTTCTAAGCAAATGACACGGCAAATCTAGGTAATAAGGGACACTGGTTGTGTTTTCATGCCATTATTTGCATTGGTGCTTCTGAGTGTCTTAAATTAGATATACAGTAGCCTCCCCCTCATCCACGGGGGGATGCGTTCCAAGACCCCTAGTGGATGCCCGAAACCATGGATAGTAACAAACCCTAGTCAACGTCTTCAGTTCTGTTGGAAATACAGCAGCAGCTCCCTCATCCACAGGCACAGCCTCTCCAGTAATTTTTATATTTCTCGGTCAAAACCTAGTCCTGAATTTGTGTAGCCATCTCTTACCTGCAGCAAGAGGCTTGGTGTCACTCGTTTCAGGGGATCGCTTGATGAAGTCCTCATATAGACTCATGCTTTCTGGTGCGACTCATGGCCTCAGTCGGAACACGTTTCTGTTCCTGTCTTCCACTCACAGATTTGATGTCTTTTCCACCTTAACTAAGCACTTACCATGCACTGTGGCTGTAACTTTTGCAGCTTGAGCTGCGACAGGAAAATGAGCATAAATTTCTTTTTCCTGCTCCACAATTTCACGGATTGAAGATTCATTCTTACTGTGGATCTTAGCAACCTCAGCAGTCGAGGTTTTTCTTTCCTTATTAAGTGGAGAGCTTTTACCTTTCTCCTTCAAGGAAGCACCTGGTGGCTTCCCTGTGGCATATCTGAATTGCCGACATCACCACTCTTGCGCTTTGGGGCCATTATTAAGTAAAATAAGGGCGACTTGAACACAGGTACGACAGTCGATCTGATAACTGAGGACAGCTACTAAGTGACTAATGAACGGGGAGAGTCTATGGCAGCGTGGATATGCTGAACAAAGGGACGAGGCACCTCCTGGATGGGACAGAGCTGGGTGGCGCAAGATTTCATCACGCTACTCAGAACGGCGCCCAATTTAAAACTTATGAATTGTTTATTTGTGGAATTTTCCATTTAATATTTCTGGACCGTGGTTGACTGCAGGTAACAGACCATGGAAAGGGAAGCTGTGGATATGGGGGTACTGCTGTCTGTGGTTACGATCTGGGGACACCTCTCTATTCCAGGCCCTGTGCAACGCAGTAAGATGCCACAAAGAATGACCAAAAGCCTCGGCCCTCAAGGAGATTACAGGCTAGTGGGGGAAATGACAAGGAAACGGACAGTGTCACCAATGGATGAGGTGCCTCAAAGGGGAGAGCTCTAGGGTGCAAGGAAGCCCAGGAGGGACCCCGAGCCCTGCAAGGCACGGTCAGGGCGCAGATGCTGGTGAGGCGAAAGAAACGGAAGCCATCCAAAACTGCAGGCAAGGGCTGGGGGGTGCCATCGCTAATCAAAAGCATCGAGTCCGTTTCTCAGTTCCTGGCCCCTCACTTTTGTTTCCCGCTGTCATCCTACGCCCAGCGACAGGCCGTAAGGTTCGGCTCACATCTCCTCGAGCCTCTTCGTTTCACTCACCTGCAGGGGCCCGTAGAGACTTTGAGTGGTTTGCCTCCCACAGACATTGCAGCGGTCTCCCCTTATCTGCGGTTTTACTTGCTGCAGTTGTGTTACCCGTGGTCTGAAAAGATTAAATGGGAAATTCCAGAAATAAACAATTTCTGGGTGTTGAACTGTCGCTGCTCTGAGCAGCGTGATGAAATCTCGCTCTGGCCGGCTCCATCCCACGGGGACGTGAATCCTCACTTTGAGCAGCGTCCCCTCGCCGTGGACACTCCCCACCCTGTAGTCCTCTGGGCTATCAGATCGACTGTCCCAGGGTCGCAGCGCTTGTGTTCAAGTCACCCTTGTTTTACTTAAGAATGGCCCCCAAGCGAAAGAGTAGTGATGCTCGCAGTTTGGACACACCAAAGAGATGCTGCAAAGCGCTTCTTTTAAGTGAAAAGGTGAAACTTCTCACCTTAAAAAGAAGGGAAAAAGCTTGTTATGCTGAGGTTGCTAAGACCTACGGGAAGAATGAATCTTCCATCGTGAAATGTGTAAAAGGAGAAAGAAATTCATGCTTGTTTCGCTGTCGCACCTCCGGCTGCGCAGGGCACAGCCGCGGAGCGTGATGAGTGCTGAGTTAGGATGGAAGAGGCGTCGCGTGGTGGGGGGGAGGCCTGGACAGAAAGCCTGTTCCAGTTGATGGCAACGTGCTGAGCCTGTGCAAAGACTTCAGCAAGGAATCCTCGGGCCAAACGAGTGACACCAAGCCATTTACTGCAAGTGAAGGACGGTGACACAGATTCAGTAATAGGTTGAACCAAAAAATGTAAAAATTACTGGAGAGAGAGAGAGGGAGAGGGAGAGGGAGAGGGAGAGGGAGAGAGAGGGAGTGTGAGCACATTCACATAACTTTAGTATATGATTTTAATTGCCCTATTTTATTATTAATTATTGTTGTCATCTCTTACTGTGTCTAATTTATAAATTGAACTTTAGCATAGGTATGCATGTATAGGAAAAAACACAGTATATATAGGATTTGTTACTATCGGCTGTTTCAGGCATCCAGGGGGAATTTGGAACATGTCCCCTGTGGATAAGGGGGGACTACTGTAGTTGGAGATCACTATGGACGCAGTGTAGGGGGGTGGTTATGAGTGTGGGTTTCATGGTTAGATGTGGGCTTGACCCACGGCCCTGTCAGCTCATATACCCACTTTGATGATGTTGTGTTATGGATTCTACTACTGAATTACTATAGGACTTCAGATTTTGTAAAACACTTTGAGATTTTCCTGGAAAAGATAATGCATGTAACTGTAAATTTCTATTTCTATGCAATAATGTAACTAATCTAGGAAAACTATCCTCCTGGAATTTCATTGTTCCCACCTCTTTGGGATGGTTTCCATTGATGACCTTATAAATAATAAAACCTGGAATTCTCACCTACACACAAGGCCTTGAACTCAGGTTAAAGGGCGGGGTGGGTAGAGTGGACAAATGAACACCTTTTGAAAGAACCATTCGAGTAGTTAAGCAAACCTGGGCATCTTCATATGTGTATCTTCCTCCATCTTTGACGTTTTGACTGGTTATTTCATAGCTATGAGAATCCAGGTTGATTGCACTTGGGGCCCCTGGAGACAGAAACTCTTGCCAGATTTCTTCCACCCTCTTGGCCACATCCTGTAGGGGTTGTTTCTTGAGGTCTTGGACGGCCAACCAGAACCTGAAGTGGAAGTATAAAGACAGTCAGTTCCAGGGGACTTAGCCTGTGGATTCTGCTGAACATGGCCCCAGAACTGACATCCATGAGACCCATTCTGCTGCATTTTCCACTCTTCCCACGGCCACTACCCAGGTAACAAAGGCCGTAGGGACTGCTGATAAGACAAATGGTGCTCCGCTATTGTGAAGAACTGAACAGAAGTACACATTAGATGGTCACTGTGCTCCTGGTTACCAGGAAGATATTCCTCTCCTTCCACATCACGGTGTCTCAGCCACAGCACTAGTGCCATTTCAGCAGGACAATTCTTTACTGTGGGGCCTGCTCTGGGCATTGTGGGTTTAGCAGCAACCTTGGCCTCTACCCACCAGATGTCAGTGGCAACCCCTCCCCAAATTGTGAGAACCCAAAATGTTTCCAGACATTACCAGCTGTCCCCTTGGAGGTGATAGCACCAGTGGCTGAGAACCGTTGCTCTACACAGATGCCATGACACAGACAAAAGTGAGCTCCTTTGTCACATCTGGTTAGGATCAGTTAGAGGCATCCAAACGAAGGAAAGACAGAGAAACAGGAAGAACCTTGGAATCATAAAGAATATCTGAGCTGGAAGGACCCAGGTATTCACGTTACAGATGAGCTGGTTCCCAGCATGGTGTTTGCATATGGCAGGCATTCAATAAATGGCTGTGGGTTGAGGATAAGCTCATCTGGAGCAAAGCTGAAGGGGCAGACATGGGGAACCTCTGCTGGAAGATTCTCCATGCGCAGTGGGGAGAAAGCCTCCTGTTCACATCCATCCATATCTGCCTGTCATAAGCCGCTCCGTGTCAGCTTGGCAGTGGCCACTGGGAGAGCTGGGTGTGAGGTCTTTTCTGCTGAGAGCAGCAGCAACCAGAGCCAAAGTTGGGCAATAACTTCCCAGGCCCTGAGATGGCTTCCAAAACAGCCCTGGGGAGGACTTTCAGCAGGGCTCAGGTGTGGATGGCACACTTGTGCCCTGTGACCAAGCCAGGCCAGGTTCCCCATCAACGTGACAGGACAGGCCCCTGGCCCTGTGACCCGCCCAACCACGGGCATCACACATCAAGTCAACGAAAGGGTGGGGACAACAGAACCTGAAACACAACACGGTGGAAAATGAATTCAATCTGTCATCGAATTTCACCCAAAGTAAGATGTACTTGTTGTTTTTTAAAAGGTTAAGCATGTTTTGCTGTTGCTGTTCAGAGACAGGTCTTTGGAGCCACGTGTGTGGCCCAAAGGCACCACTCAGTGGCCAACTGCAGTACTGCAGCTCCATTTCCGCGAGGAGAGGAGACAGGTGCGTGTGCGTGTGCGTGTGCGTGTGCGTGTGCGTGTGCACAGTGGCCTCCACCTCTTCCCCGATTTGCCGTTTGGGATTCTAATAATCTCCTTGAAGAAAACCTCATGGTCCCCTTGGTGATTCTGAAGAGCATGAGTGAAAGTCAGGGAACGAGACTGAAGGCTTCACTCAACGGAAAGGTGAGGAAGCACAGTTCTGTCCCCGTCTTGGAACTGTCTCCTTCCGGGTGTCTCTGTCCTCACCTGTAAAATGGGTACAAAGTGGGTGGAGGGATATGTGGTGCATGTTTGAAGAACTTCCCATCCAGGTGAAGTGTGAAATGCATTCAGGTCCTGCGGGTGGAAGCCATGGAAGGGTCAGTGTGGTGGTCACGGGTTCAATCCTGGGCCAGCATGATCCCTCAGGTTTCATCTCTTTCTGCTCCAGTGGCCTGGGCAGAAGCTGCCCCAGGCACTTGCCACTGCCATCTGCTGTCCCCTGCCCTTCAACACCAGCCCTCTTTCTGTCACGGGTCTTTGGGGCTCCAGTCCTCTGACTGCCCGGCAAGAGAAAGGCAATGGCTCTCTACCCAGCGTCCAGAGGGGTGGAGGCGGGGTTGAGAGGAGCGGTAAGCATGATGGGCAGGTGGGCCTTTGAGACTCCTCTGGGGCGCAGGCTTCCTCCTTCCCCTGGCCCACTCCCTAGATTCCTTAGGTCTCCCTGCCCACCCTCTGGGCTTCCCTAAATGAAGGAAGTGGCTCAAGGTGTAAAGGTGAAAATGGTCACCTGGTGACGACAGTGGTGTCCTTCTCCACCTGGGGGACAGTGTTTGAGGAGCAGGTAAAGTTCAGGGAACCAGCTCTAAGCAAGAAGCTGGTGTTGGCTTTTTGGGAGGGGGAATGGGGAACTCACCGAAGACCAAATGAGCCCTCTGCAGCCTCATGCTGGGCAGATGGGGGAAGGGGCCTTCCAGGGAGCCGCCTTTGGGCTGAGTTCCTGGGCTGGAAGCCACCTCCCTGCACCACCAGCATCCTTTGAAGCCTACTGGACCTCCCATCTCTCACACAAATGGATGATACCCAGGTGATTCCTGCTCCCCAGTCAGTCTCCCTGCCATCATCTTCCATCCCCTTTTCTAGTCTGCTCTGAGGGGAGCCACTGAGACCCTCTGGGAAGGCCCTGAGGGCCCAGCAGCTTCTGAGCTCTGCACTTGCCCGAGGTTCCCAAGGCCTCAGGGTCCCTTTTGCAGAGTGATTTAGGCGCCGTAATAATGCACATCACCCATCACCCAGCTGGTGCAGAGAAGGTCTGGGGCTGATGTAAATGGAAATCTCAGACTCAAATACAATAAACTTTTACATTAAAAATGAAAGGTTCCCTTTGTCAGGTGAAAATAAGAATTAAAATAAAAGTACAAGAAGAAACAATGAGCATGCTCCTGGAGGAGGAGGGGCCAGAGGGAGAGGAGGGAGAGAAGTGGGGGAGGGGAGTGAGAAAGGGGGGGACAGGTGGAGGGGAGGTGAGGAGGGAGAGGAGGAAGAGAAGTGGGGAGAGGAGGAGTGGGGGGAGGACATTCCCTAGACAGTAGTTTCTCTCCCTGCACGCATGGACACCCTCTTGGCCTTCTGTCTGCCTTGGAGATGACCTGCCTATCCCTCCCAGGTGACAGTGAAAATGCCATCACAACAGCATCCTGACATCCATATGTGTTTGCCATCACCGGCTTTGAAGAAGCTTTGTGTCAATTTGAAATTCAGAGCAGGCTCTGGTGTGCATTTGCCATCTGCGAGCCCACGGGCCGAGCTGGAGCTCTGAGCCCGGCTGCCCAGCACAGCTCCCTGAAAGAGCCCCAGCAGCTCCCCGCCGCACATTTGCTGCGCTGGGAGGCCCACTGAGGCTTGCGCAGCTTCTGTTCTTATCAAAAGCCTGCAGGTACCACTCCTCCTCGAGGACACCAACAGGGCGGAGGCGGCCAGCAGCGACATCAAATCCACCCACCCTGCACTAAGCCCCTGTGGCGGGCAGCAGAAGGGCTGCCATGACTGGCGGGCACAGGGACTCGCTGGTATCAGGGAGGCCACCTGTCCTGTCTGGCCCGAGTCCTCAGAGCGCAGGCAAGCAGCCCATGTGCCAGCACGTGACCCGTGTCCAGGGCTTAGGAATGCAGGCTGTGCACTGGGCTCCGGGGGAGGCGGCCTGGGCTCAGACGTGGCCTGGCTGAGCGGCAGGGGCCTGGACTTGCTGGCCTGCTGGGGTGGCTCCCTCAGGACCGGGATGTGGGTGGGAAATGGGCTTTTCTCCTCACAGCTGGAACAAGAAAAACCATTCTCCATCCTGCCCTGCCAGGGGGGTCTGGGCAGCCCCCAGTTCCCAGCTTACACGGCTTTTCATAAACTAGGATTGTCACGGGTTAGAAAAATACAGCTTTTGGTTCGTTTGCCGAGAAAAGCAAACTCTACGCAAAGGTAGGGTTTCTGTGCCCTCTGCTGGTCAGTGGAGACTCAGGAAGAGGGATCCAACTTAACTCAGGCTCTGGTCTGGCTGAAACCTCTGGTGCCCACATGGGTGAGGCCACCGGCACGCATCACAGAGGCTGAGCTGTGCTCACCGGGCAGTGGCTGAAATGCCACAGATTGTCAAGGCATGGCACGAGCCACCTCTGTCTCAATTAATCATGTGTTTAGTTAGGGTTGAATCCCACCGGGCCTGGTGAACCTTTGGAGGTCTTTCCAGGACTCGGGGCCGCCGTCGGAGCAGGGGGGGCTCTCGACGCAAACCCCGCAACTCCCCTGTGCTCTGTTTAATTGCTTCTCCCCTCAGCTGACACCGCGTGGAACCAGGATAATCAATCTGCAGGTTAGGAGAACAACCCTGCTCTCTCCGGAGGCGGCACAGCTCATAAAAAATGTACGGGGGACGCTCTTTGCTGCGGGTTTTGATTTTTAACCCGTGCCCTGCCGTGCGGCAGAAGGTGTGGAGCCAGGGAGGAAGGACAAAGATTGGTGCAGGGACGATAGAGGGAGGACAGGGGCGGCAGGGGGCTCCTGTCATCATTCTGAGGAAATGCGCAGAGCAGAAGGGCCGCCTCAGATAACTCGCTGGAGGTCCCGGCTTCAGAACCAGGAGGCCCCCACCTTGTGGAGGAGAGGCCACCTGCCTTCCGAAGGCCCCACGCAAATAGCTGTGTCCAGGGGCCCACCCAGTCCAAATGGAGCCTGGGCTCAGCTCCGGGTGCCACAGAGGGTGTGCTGTCACATGTGCTGTCACCAGCAAAATGTGCTAGCCACCGCTGCTGGCCCTCACCTCACAGGCTCACCCCCCCCAACTTACACTGGGTTATCATAGACATCTTTCCTTTAAGGATCCAGGCGATCCTTTACTGTGTAACAAAAAATACTGACATCTTTTTGGAGTTCCTCTGCTCTGCATTCCAAAGCTCTGGTATAAATTCAGCCATTTGGCTACTTAACCGGCACTCAGAGGGCTGTGCAAAGATGCTATGATCTTAGTGGCCTTTCACTGGAGAGGTGCAAGGGAGCACAGGAAGCCGGGCGTGCAGAGGCCCTTTGCAGTGTGTCTAGTTGCGTTCTGGTCCGTCTCTCTTTCTCTTTTCCTCGCATGCTCCAATGCCAGCTGCTGCCTGGATCTTGACCAATCCTGGGGAGAAGGGACGACCCTGGCATGGCCAACACAGCAGATGGGCAGGATCCCCGGGCTGTGCCACCCTGCACAGCTCCAGGGGCTGCCACAGCAGAGGTGCACCGGACCAGGGGTAAACCAATTCAGCTCTGAGGCCTTGGACTGGGGTCAAGGCAGATGCTAAGCCAACATCTGCGGTTGAAGGAATGAATTCCAAGGGAAGGAGGAGAAACTACCTGGTAAGAGTGACAGATGAGTCCTGAAGTTGTGTGGTTAAAAACAGCTTCACTCCCATATATCCAATTATGCCGAATATCATAAGCGTGGGATTCAGACCTCTGGAGAGGATTCTAGAAGCTCCTGCGCTATGCTGTTTACCTCTGGCTACTCCATATTTTCTTTACCCTCTCTCCCGACATGGATCGGAGGGGCCCTCTTTAAGTCTGGACTTATGCATTCGCGTGTGGATCAGTCACCGGCACGCTCACGCACGCCCGCACACACCCTTTCACCCCAGCCTGCGTGCAGCCCTCCTGGCACTGGGGGAAGCTGCTGGCAGGGGCGCAGAGGTAATGGCAGGCGGAGGCGCTGAACATCTGCCAGGGACACACTCCTCCGTGCAGTCCGGGCCTTAAAGGCAATGCATCGTGAAACTGGTCTGACCCGCTTAGGTGGGGTGGCTGCACTCGGAGGGGACAAAGCAGTGCTGAGCCGGCAGATGCTCCTGCTCCTGGGCTCTGGCAATGCCCAGGACCCTGTGGCCACTCTTCAAAGTCTCTGTAATGTTGCAGGTGGCAGAGGGTCATAAGGCCACTTGTGGGCCGAGAAATAGTCAGGTGAAGGAGGCCTCTGGACCACTCCATCTTGAGGACCCATGGGGGCCAGCATGAGAAGAGAGATGGAAAGGACCCACATCCAGGCACAGCCTTTGAGGCTGCTCTGAACACCAGCCTCCTGAAGTTGAAAGTCAAGCCTTCCACTGCAAATACCTGATTAGGAAGCAAAGCTGAGATGCGTTCAGCATAATGCTGAACTCTCAAGGAAAGAACGCGGTGTCATAACCTGAAATCAGATACTCAGCCTTATCTGGTTTACCATAGGCACGTGGCTGCCTTGAAAGGCATCAAGACATACAGTTAATTGGCATCTACAAGTCCTGCCAGGACTTTACGGCTCACAGGGCCATCAGCTCAGAATACTCTCTCCCTTCTTCATCTATCAGCATCCTGTGCATTCTACTCTGGCTTACATTCATCCCTCCCTTTTTCAATTTTTAAAAATATATCTTTATTGATTTCAGAGAGAAAGGGAGAGGGAGAGATAGAAACATCAGTGATGAGAGAATCATTGATCGGCTGCAGCCCGCAACCCGGGCACGTGCCCCGACCAGGAATTGAACCCTGATCGCCTGGGTCCTAAGTCGATGCTCAGCCGCTGAGCCACGCCTGGCCAGGCCATCCCTCCCTTTTAAAAACACTTCTAAAATGGTTATTAGAGTTTGTACTTCTTTATATTCATTTAATGATGTAATAGTTTTTTCCTCAAGGACCCACAGGGTTGTTGTAGGGGAAGATCATGCATCTTGGCTTCCTTGCATCCCTCAGCAAATGTTCGTGGGGCTCGGCGTGGTGTAGGTGTGTGATAAATATCATTTGATTGACACATGGGACTGATATGGTCTGTCTCCAAATATACCATATGGCCTTTGCACATTAACACTGGAGTGGACAGTGTTTTACCCGCAGTAGATACTTTGACTTTTAAAAGTTCAAAAACATTTTAAAAAGTTAATAAAGCCGCTCTTCAAAAAAATGCCACTGGAAGATGGGCATTAACCTGCATATAAAAGAGAACCTGGTACCAAGAAAAACAGAGATTCCTACCTTCCCCACTGAGAAGTCACCAGTTGGCTAAGATCACTAAATGGTCTTAGATACATTACATGTTCCATAGGTCTCTGCCTTTACCTCGAATACAGTGAAAGCCTGAATGAAATCCAATTTTTCATAACCGTGGGCCCTTTCTCTTTTTAATGCACCCTCTTTCCTTCCTCTCTCAAGGGACCTCATGTTTTGAAAGCCTTACTTTTCCTACTGAACAGTAATTATTAATACATCAATACTTTTCCCCTTATCTTGATGAGTCATAGACCAATAGTCACAGCAGATGTTCCACTGGCATCAGGTGACCAGAATAATCACGAGAGTTGATAGAATTCCCCCCCCCCCAAAAAAAGCATGTTTTAATTAGTGTTTATAGTTATGTCTGCAGTTATTGAGTGACATTTACTCTTAAGGCCACAAACCCCCATTTCCTTCTGCTTGGCCTGTCACATATTCAGGACCCCAGACTTGGGAAGTTCTGGAAAATAGGGTATCTGAGCTCTTTCCTCTGAAACTCTACAGCCCTATGGTTTTAGTTAAAGGTGGTGTCATCAGGTCCATTTGGCTATTTACTTGTCATTGGAGACATGTTTCCAACAACTTGAGGAAATGCCACCTGAACTTGAGGAACAATAAATGTTGGTGCTGGTAGGTGCTAATATGGTGACAGCCAAGCTGCAGATAAAGTTTTTCGTTTCCATTTCAACCTTCGCCAGATTAGCTGCAAATTGAGTTCGAACCCTAACATTTTATGGGCAAAGGGAGGCAGAAAGAGAGGCTGATTATGCAAATTTCTTCACACACTCTGCACACAGCTCAAACCTTCGCGAGGTTTACCTGAGGTTTTCTGAACTGAATTCGGACTCCAGGAAGCGTAGAAACTGGTCCCGCCCAGCTTGGTCCTTCAGCATCTCGTCGAAAGAGAAGCCCCATCTCTTTACTCGCTGCTGGCTGGGCTCTTTGCTTTTGGAGGGGTGGGGGAAACAAAGGTTTAAAAAGCGATTAATACCAAACATAAACCTGTGTCATGTTCTCTCCAGCAAGTCAAATCGGTTTTGCTGCCACATGCCAAAGGGAAATTTCACCAATTTAAGTGATAGACTCTGTAAAAACCTGTACAAACTCTCAGTGCAGACTTCTGCACACCAATATCAGCCAATGGTAAAAAGTCTCTTTAAGGAAGGCACTTAGGGCAGGGTCACCGGGAGCCATGCCCAGGGGCTCCTGTCCACAGGAGATACAACCCCACTGACTCGGCTCCTCTGGGCCATTCCTGTCAGTGGCAGGCCCAACTCCAGGCTCCATCATTTTTTAACCTTTTTTTTTTTTAAATAACTGAGCATGCCTTGTGAATTCAACTACTCATCAAGGCATTGTCCCCACCTCTCACCCCTTCCTCAGTCCACAGGGGAGAAACAAAGTCCTGTTTCGATCCAAGTGACATATGACTGGTCAGAAATGAAACAACTCATCCAGGATAAAACCTATTCACTTGTTTAGAAGCAGAATGTTGTATTCATTTATCGATTTAACAACCACCTGCTCAGGGTTTATGATGTTCTAGGCAATTTATGTTTGTTAACTCACTGAGCCCTCACAACTACTGTAAAACATGTACTAGCACTGTCCCCATTGGACAGATGGGGAAACTGAGGCCCAGTGGCACTTTGCCCAAGGACACTTAGGGAGTGAGGGAGTCAAGACTCAAGTCCAGCCTGGCCAGGTGTGGCTCAGCAGTTGAGCATCGATCTGGGATCCAGGTGATTGGGGTTTGATTTCCCGTCAGGGCACATGCCCGGGTTGTGGGCTCGATCCCCAGTCGAGGGCGTGCAGGAGGCAGCCGATCAATGACTCTCATCAATGATGTTTCTATCTCTCTCCCTCTCTTTTCTTCTCTCTGAAATCAATAAAGATATATTTAAAAAAAAAAAAAAAGACTCAAGTCCAGACAGTGCAGCTCCAGAGGGCAGCTCCTGATTCTGCTGTGCGTGTCACGTCCACATGACGCTTCTCAGACCCATGCCAGGGGTCGGGGGCGGGGGTCTGAGGTAGGGAAGACGGTGGTCTTATTCTTTTGGTTTTGGAAGATGCAACTATTTCCTTCATCTCCTGTCTTTCCACGTACACTTCACTTGCTGTATTTATTCCCCTGAGAGACGTGGGTCTAGCAGTGCTTATTTTCTCTCTTTTTAAAAATCAACACATACTTTTCATTATTTCTAACAGGCATTAAGTAAAGAAAATAGTTTCCTTGTGTTATGGAGTTGACGTAGTCTCAATATCTATCTTAGAGAATGATACTTAAGAAAGGACAACAGAGCATGTGTGTTGAGAGGTTTGGAACGACAGCTCTAGAGCGGCGCCGCCCGCAGAACCGCCTGCGAGGCCGGGGATGCTCTGTGCCTGTGCTCGCAACGTGGGAGCCACTAGCCACACGTGGCTCTTGACAACTTAGTATGTGGGTGGTGTGACCAAGAAACGGAATCTTTAATTTTAAATAATTAAAGTTTAAATCGAAGCGGCCGCGTGTGGTCAGTGTCTACCGTATTGGGAAGCACAGCTCTGGACTTACACGGTTCGAGCCCAACCCTTCTACTTCTGCACCATTAGACACAAGCAGCAGCAGCGTCTTCCGATTCCGAGATCGTGTGCCGGGCTCTCGTGCACAGCTCTGCATCTCCAGGCTCGGCCCACTGGAGCCACAGCGGAAGACCAAGTCCTCCAGGTGGACCAGTGGGGAATTCCATGAAAGTTCTTCCAAACCCCAGGCTGGGCTTTTCACAGCCAAAAAGACAGGTCCTGGATTCTCTCAAACTCAAGCCATGGAACCAATCCCACTCAACAGAACTCGAGGAGAAAAAAAGCACTGCTTGTAAAGAAATCTCTCTAGGGTGGAGCAGCAAATGTAAGCCGGAGAGAGGCAGCCTCTCGTCTCTTTCTGCCAGGGTCATGCTGTCATCAGGGATGGGCTCAATCATCTGCTTTTTGCCAGCCAAGCTTGCAGGGCTCTGTAGGGACGGTGCTGGTGGCCGCCACACACTGGTCAAAGGCTGTGCCCAGAGAGCCAAGTGTGGAAAGTCTCTCAGCGTTTGTGGTGATTGCCTCTTGGACTCCTACCCACCACCAGTGCCACTGTTTTCTGGTACCCAAACAGAGTCCTCATTCACCCCACCAGGTTCATTGGTGGTGGCGGGGGTGGGAGAAGGGCCATTTTTGAGGCAGGCCAGAAAGCTTGGGGTGTCATGCTAGATGGAGAATCAGAGGTCAGGACATCCAGAGAGCTGCAAGGTCAGCCTTCAGCAGAAACAAGGGCCGGAGAGACACGAGGCCTTGGTGAGGTAGTTCCTAGGGTTATTGTAACAAGGACCAACTACCTGGGTGGCTTAAAGTAGTAAAAAATTATCCTCTCAGGATTCTGGGGTGAGAAGTCTGAAATGCAGGTGTTGGCAGGGCCACACTCTCTCTGAAGGCTGTCTTTCTGTTAGCTTCTGGTGTAGCTACCAGTCCCAGTCCGAGAGGGGATCCAGTCTGTCAGCCTGTCCTTGGGCCTCGAGAGGAACCTTGCCAATTTACCTGTGTCCTCCCACTAACACACTCAGGGGAAGCCCTACAGCCTCATGAACTGCTCAGAGGACAGCTTGCGGGGGAGCTCTGTGAACCACACCAGGAATTTTCACACTGTGTGTGCCTCAGAATTGCCTAGAATGCTTGCTGCAACCGCCCCCCCAGAACCACCCCCAGGGCATCTGTGTTTTTAATGAGCATCTCGGGTGATTCTGACACACCCTGTGTTTTGAGAACCAGTGACCCACACAATAGCTGAGGGAGCCCTCACCAGCTACTGACATAGTCCATCTGGACCAGGGCTGCACATTAGAATCACTTGGGGCGATGTCAAAAAAATACCAATGCCTCACTTCAGAAATTCTGATTTAACTGCTCCGGGGAGGGAACTAGGCGTTGGTAATTTTTAAAAATAAATGCTCCAGGTGATTCTAATTTATGGCCAGAGAGTTGAAAGCTAAGATCTTCATTTATGACAACCCGCAGTCCCCCAAATTGTTGGGTATATGAAAAGACCGATCTGCTGTGAACAATGACTGGAATAATGAAACGATGATTAGAAACAACACTTCTCTGATCAATGACCACCTGTGAAACAGGCTAAGCTGCAGAAATTGAGGAGAAATATGAAAAAAAATCCATATCCCACCCTCAGGGGAAACATCACTAGAACAGAGCAGGCTACTAAGGTAGAGAAGCCCAAGAAATATTAAGAATTCCCAGAAATGAAAAGCGTGATTGTCACCACCCCTCCCAACACCCAGTAGAAAAAGAAAAACTCGTTCAAGTATAAAATCACAGAATGGACATCATTGAAAACAAAACTGTGACTCTGAGGAGTAATTTGGGGAATTCCATCCTTGAATACAGAATAAAAAGGGAAATAGAGAAAAGATGCGAGACGGCTGCTGCATCCCAGAGGCCCAGAATTCCTATAAAAAGACTCCCTGAAAAGAGTGGATAGTATGGGGGGAACCATAGCAGCGATTAAAAAAAATGGAAAAAAACCCATCCTGAGTTAAAAAGATTTAAGGTCTTGGATCAGATTAGAAGGAAGGACCCAGGGCATGTTTATTTAATAAAAAGTCAGGTCCAAAGAACTTCATATGTATTTATGTCCTAACAACTTAGCAGCTCTTGGAAGCACAGGCACATTGAAAGGACAATGACCAGGTTTGCTCCCTTTCTAAAGAAACGCACGCGCCGCGGAGCAGCGCTCATCTCCTCAGGCTTGGCAAGGGGTGGGCCCGCCGCTCGCTTCCTGCTCCGCGCTGGTGTTTGCACGGGGCTTGCTTTCATCACAGCCAGCTGCTCTGAAAAGCCAGATCTGCGAAGATATGACATCCCCGGAGGGAATGGAATGTGGCCGAGTGTTGAAGACAGTGAACAACCTTAACTAGTGGCTTGTGCAGCATCTGACGTATGTCACGCCCGCGTCACTGCGTCTCCCTGAGACTCAGACCGCCCTGTGGCAGCCCTGTGAGGTCCCTGCAGGGGCGCGGGGCGCCCCGGTGCGGCTTGGGAACCATGGCATTAGGCTATAAGCAAAGCTCTTTCCAGAAAATGGCATTGGGCTGGAGGAAAGGATTTCCTTCGTTATGTATGTCTGACTAGTTTAAACTTTTTATAATAAGTACCTATGCCTTTTATTACTTTGTATAAGGTTTTTCCATTTCAAGAAAAGAATTCAGAAAAAGAGCAAGAGTGAAAGTGAGTGAGGGATGTAAGGAATGAGGAACAGGGCCGAGGGTGCCCAGGGCCACCATGCCAGAGCTGACTGTGCCTCTCCTGCATCTGTGAGCGCGGCCCAGTCTGGGCTTCGGCTCCGCAGCTACTGAGCAAACACACCGGCTTCCCTCACGAGTAAGACGCTACTGGGTGGAGTCACCTCGCTCAGGTACTCGAGAGGAGCAGTGATGAAAACCACGGCTCTGGAGCCCTCTGCTGGGTCCAATCCTAACTCTGCCATCTACTCACTGTGTGACCTTGAGCAAGCTCACTAACTCCTCTGAGCCTCAGCTTCCTCATCTGTTCAATGGTGAAAATAATAATAATTACTTGTTGTGGGATTCCGTGTAAGACACTTATTATTACTGTTGCTGCTGTTTAATATATAGATATATAAAACAACAAATTGGCCAACAGATTCATTTCCTCTGGCAATCAGAGCTGGGAAATGGGAGGGACTGTCCCTGTTATTATGACATGTGAAGGGTCAGAGAGAGGTCAGAGGGAAGGCACAAGGATCCACGTACAAACCGAACTATGAGGGAGGTAGAAACCATGAGCACGCAGAACTCGGTGGGGAGGTTACTTGAGGGTTTTCTGTTCAAATGATAAAGTCAAATTAAGATTGGGATAATGTAATCTCACAATCACATACTTTTTTTTTTTTCTTCTTTTACCTCATCTCTATGTCCCACAAAGCCATATCGTCACTGATCCAGGGATTGGACGGCTCGGCTGGCGTTATCAAAGGATCATATTCCACATACTGTTCCGTGTAAGCAATTAAGCTGCAGGAGGGAAGCAGAGTGGAGAATGCTGCTGATTTCCTGTAAAAACTTTTATTCTGTTTCATACAAACATTATATCAGTCTTAATATAATTCTAAACAAAAGGGGAAAAATTACCACCACTCCCACTTTTGACAAATTCCCTTGTTTGCTGCTGAGCTAAGTAGCATATTACCTTTTTCAAGTGTTCCTACAAATCTATAAAACATCTAGCAATAATTTTCCTTAACTTAAACACATCAGGTAATTAATTAATCAGTTGTCTCCCTGTCCCCAGAGTTCTGAATCTTCTTGCTCCAACTGGACTGTTTGCTCTACAGACCTGATGCAAAATCATCCTGAGACCTCCTTCACTTTTGTGTTGAAGCCCTTGTTTCCTGGATTCCATCTCTGTCTATTGGGTTTACTCCCTAGTTATGTGGAAGCACATCCTTTAATAGTTTCCCAAGAATGCTTTTACTTTACCTTTATACTTGACTGATAGTGCTGGACATGGAACCCAGGGTTAAAAATAATTTTCTTTCAGAATTTTGAAGGCATTGCTCTACTTTTTTTTTTTTTTTCGCATTAAGTGTTACTCTTGAGAAGTCTGGATCCATTTTGATTCTAAACTGTTTCTTTTCTCTCTGGGAACTTAGAGTCTTCTCTTTATTGCTATAGTGGTCTGGAATTTCACCATGGCCTTTGCTGATTGTTTTTGCTCACTGTGCTGGGTACAATGTGTAATATATTTCCCATAAAAATTATTTCTTTGTTAATGTCATACCATTCATTTTTCCTTTCTATAATTCTTTTTAGTTAACTATGGAACATCTTGAATGGATTGATAATCTAATTTTCCTAAGTTTTCCCTCCCATTTTTTATCTTTTTGTCTTTTTATTTGAAAGTTCTTTCAACCTTTCTCTTTATTTAATTTGAGGTACCATTTTCTTAACTTTCCAGAGTTCACTCTTGTTTATCATAGTATCTAGTTTTTGTTTTATGGATGGAATATCTTCTCATATCTCTGAGGATATGAATTCTATATTTTTATTTTCAGTTTCTTCTGTTTCTGGAATCATTCCTCCAAGTCCCTGTTTTGTTTGTTTCGATTTCACTCCTTCACGTTGGGGTTTATCTTGAGTGCCTGAAAAACCTCTGGACATTCCTTTGTGCTTAAGTGTGAGGTACTAAAACCTGCTTGGAGGCTCAGTGTGTGGGGGCAGGACCTGCCGACTGATGGGCTTCATTGTTGGGTCACTGGGCAGCTTGCCCGTGTTTTCACTAAAGCTCTAACGAGGGATCTGGGGTCTGTCTTCTGAGGACATCTATTTTTCTCTAGGACAGGGTAGGCAAACTTTTTCTGGAAGATCCAGATAATACATATTTTAGGCTCTGCAGGTCAGATGGTATCTGTCGCAACTACTCAGCTCTTCTTTTGCAGCACAAAAACAGCCACAGACAATTCTCAAATGAATGCATGTGACTCTGTTCCAATGAAACTTTATTTGCCAAAAGAGTGGAGTGGATTTGGCTCATGGGTTGTAGTTTACCAGTCTCTTGCCTGTGGGCATATACATCTGGCTCTTGGAGGGCTGAGAGCGAGGCAGGGGAGAGGTCGAGGGTCCCACAGTTCAGTATATAGATCTTTTATTAATTCTCTTGCTTTTAGCGGGCCCTTTATGATGTGATGTGCCTGAGTTCTGAACTGACGGGGTTCAATTTCTCCAGAGAATAAACTGCCTATCCCCTATGGTGGTAGTTCCTGGGAGAAATGGTCTTCTAGTGGGGCAGGGATCTAAGAATACCACGCTTGAACTCATCACCCAATTAAAAAAGTAAAACATTACAAATAGAGAGAGAGGCTTAAGATTATGCTCCCCAATTCCTTAAAATTTCAATCTTCAACAAATTTTTTGAAACCATTAATTAAATAATTCATTGACTTTGAGTTCATACCATTTTTATTCATTTACTGATATGTTGCTCTTGGGGAGGGACAGAAGAGAAACGTATGTCCACAATATTGTCTTGAGTGAATTTATTATAATTTATATAATCACTTCCTTTATATTAGACTGACTTTTAATTTCTTTAGTACACACAGTGCTCACATTGGATTTTCCATCTTCTGGGCTATTTATTTAGAATTGACATCCACAAGTAGGATGACTGGGCCAAACGGTATGGATATTTTTATGGTTATTGACCTACGTAGGGGGGAAAAACTTTCCCCATGCACTGCCAACTTGAGTGTCATGTTTCCTCGGCAATGGGAAATTCAGTGAAGGATGGCTTGCAGGGATTGGTCAGGGGAAAACGAGGCATGGATGTAAAGCACCCTAGGATAGTGACCATCATTCCTACTTTAGAAATAAAATTAAAATGTGCTAAAACACTCATTAGGAAACCAGGGCCTCTAAACAGGAAGGAACCCGGGGGCTGCATGTGGAAAGGGGGGAACAGGAGAGTACGTTAGCACCCCCTTTGGTAGGCGTAGTTTCTAAGTGATGATGAATAAACAGAACCGGGCAGGAAGGGGGTCCGAGCAGGAAGGGGAATGAAAAGCGGAGCAACAGCATAGACAGGGCGGAAGAAAGTTTAGTTCTCATCATTAATTCATTAATCTAATTTGTTTTTCCCATTGTAGAAGGTGGAGGAGGGGAGAGAATAGAAAGAGAGAACTCCTTAGTTGTAGGTCACTCAAAGAAAATATAATCAACAGAGAATCTCAGAACGAGTGGGGGGTGTGAAGGTGAATCTAGCCCCTCAGAAAGGAGCATACGCCAGGCCCGGCACTGCAGCCCTTCTAGATCATGATCTGCATGCAGTCCCCTGGCTATAATTTTACCTCTCATCTTTTCTTTTCTGTCACCTAAGATGGACTGGGAGAAGAGAGAAGCAAGGACCCCCAAGTGTCTGGAATCACATCAAAGCAAAGTTGTAATGACCTCTTTGGCTCCTTTCTTCCCTCACCCGAAACTATCATTAGACATTAAGTTCATGGATTTCTATCACCCCAGCAGGTTTTTAATAGACCCTAAGGGCATGCAGTCCCTTACTATCTTATCTCATTTTATTAATTACATTTCACGATCACTGAGGGTCAGGAGGCAGAGGGGGAACCAGCATCCAATTTCAAGGAACAGCAGCGATCTCGAGATGGGCAAGATGATGATAAAAAATCAATTCAGCCTTCAGCTGTGATGCACAAATGGCTCCCAGGGTAGGGTAAGGATGAGCCGAGCACAGGAGCAGACACACAAGGACACAACTTGATTTCTCCGTGTGTGGCAGTGTGGTGTGATTCCTGCAGTGACCTGCTCAGTGCCACTACAGGTGGGGAGAAGTCTCTGGGGATACCTAGCAAAACACAGAGACTTTTCCAGAACATTTGGAACTAAAATGTGGATTTTTGCATTCTCAAAGTTTTGAATACAAAAGGCTCCTTGAGGACTCTCAAAGAAGAGTAAGCTCTCTTTTATTTTGCAACTTAAATTGTTGACAGAACATAGGTGAGACAGGTGACCAAAGGGCCTCTTTCTACAATGAAATAAACTCTGTGCCTCAAGGCTCATTGTCTCTTATTCAAAAGAGCAGACATCTCAGAGAAGATTCTTGCATTAGGATCAAGGCTAAGGAATTTGGTTATTTGATTTCCTATTGTGATAGATCAATGTAAAAAAATGAAGTCTGTTTCCCTAGCCCTTGACTCTGGGCTGGGCTTGTGACTTGCTTTAGCCAATAAAACACGGGGAAGTGATGGAGTGCCAGTTCTAAGCCTCAAGTAGCTGGACATGCTTCTCCTCTCTTTTTTGGAATCTGCTATCCTCATGTGAATAAGCTCAAACTAGCCTGCTGGAGGATGAGAGACCATGTGAGGAGAGCCCAGTTGTCTCAGCTGATGTCATTCTAAACTAGCTGAAGCCAAACATGTGAGAGCGCCCAGCCAAGATCACCGAGCTGCCTACTCAATGCACAGATACTAAGGGAATTGCAAGAGAGGCAGCTGGCTCATAGACACATGAGCAGCAGTAAGTTGCTGTTGTTTAAAGCCACTATATTTTTGAGGTGGTTTGTTACGCAGCAATAGCTAACTGATACATGTGGTCTGCCACAGATAGAAAATGGGAGTTGGTAAGGGATGAGGAAGGGCTACTAGAGACAAGTATGTTGACAGGAACCAGAAAACAAACCAACAACTAAAAAGCAGAAACAAAGACTCAAAGAACATAATGGCCTGTGGCTCTTTAGGGAAAGGGAAGCAGTTGGTGGCACTTCATAAGACCCTGGCCACTGACAGAGTTTTAAAGTACAGTGTAAAGACATGGACTCTGAGTCATCCAGAAAAAGTAACTGAAATATGTGTCCTTTCTTTAAGAAGGCACATGCATGACCCTATTGAAGACAGAATCTCATTTAAAATAGTTAAAATAAAAACTTGAGGTGTTAAGCATCATTTATCTGGAGAACTCATTTGTGTGAGCAAGGACTGTACTTCCTGATGCAAAAATTAGGTAATATCTCAGACTGGCTTTTGTGTTGTTTCCAGGTGTAAAAGGCAGCCTAGGACATATAGTTTGGCTGTCATGATGTTGGCATTTTGGGAACATTTAACCACTCATGGGGACAATGGGACAGAATAGTTGAAACTGAGATGACCTGAGAAAATCTGTGCAGAAAAGCCAGCCTCTTCATGCACAGACCTCCCTCCCCCAAAGACACCACATTATTAGTGCCATAAGAGGCAGCCAAGGGGGACAGACCTGTGGATGACAGGGCCACCCTTAGGCAGTACGCGGGGCTCTCTGTCTAGGAGACTGAGAAGAAAGCCAGAGGGAAGAACCACATGTGCACAAAACTGCCACCTGCAGGGCCAGCCGCACTCCATGGCCTGCCCTTTGTTTGTTCCTCTGAACACCATACACCCAGTCATTCCATCTCATGCACTTGAGTTTGTTCCTTTCCAAAGCACCATTTAGCACCACACTGGAAAATAATAATCAGCATTCACATTCACTGTATGTGTAGTAAGTGCGAAGGACTGGACCAAGGGCACGCCGTGGACTAACTCATGAACCCTATTAAGTACCACTGCTCTCTCCCCTTTAAAGAGACAGGATCCAAACCCAATGGCTGGCTGCACCTCTGCCCCCTAAATTGTTCTGTTCTGCCCTTTAGTTCGCAAAGTTTCTCTGTTCCCTTCCTGGCTGGACCTGGCGGCACCCTTTGACCAGGCCCTGACTCTGGCCTTTGGAGAACTGGACTTTCACATTCACTTGCCCTCCCACCTCTCCCAACATCAGTGCTGAGGGAGCAAAGTGGAAAAATGGGTGGAACTGTTCTCAGGGGGTTGAGGCCCTTTGCCTGATGGTTTCTGGCTAATTATCACCACTCCCCTGGAGCAGGCCCAGGAGATCAGGTCTGCCCGGGGATGTGTGTGCCCACCTGAGATAGCTCAGCTTTCACTTCTGGTGAGCTGAGCAGTCGCACCCAAGGCCAGCTGCCAGCGCCACCTCCCTGCCCCCCACCCCTGCAGAACCGCTGACAGACCAAGGCTCTAGGCTGCTTTATCTCCTGCTAACACCCGCTCCTCTCCCTCCTCCTCTCTATCTGGGAGTTTCCTTGTGGCTCTAATGAAAAACCCTTGTGTCACATTGAAAAGTTGCCAGTTATTGCTGCTGGGAATAAAATCCAGTCTCTGCTGGGCGGAGACACAGGAGAGCTTCCAACTGCGGAGGGAGGAGTGGCTGGTTGGACTAATCTCTTCAAGGTGAGTGGCCTCTCACTCTAATGAGATGGCGCCAGGTGGGGCCCCTCTCGAGACAGCCAGAAAACAAACAAACAATGGGCCCTGCCAGGCTCCCTCCCCCTCCTCGGCTGTCTCTCTTCTCTTATCAGCACACCAGCCGCAAGCGTGGGCCTCCCTCATGCAGACCTGTTCAGGCTCTTTCCTCACGGCCCCAGGATAGGGCAAAGCTGGCGTCCCTTCTGAGGGAGCTCTCAGGTCAGTCTAAGTGTGGACAATGGCTTCACCAAATCCTCAGAGACCCGGTCAGTCCACTGGTTCAAAATACACGTTCCTGCCCTAGTTGGTTGGCTCAGTAGTTACAGTGTTGGCCTGAGGACTGAAGGGTCCCAGGTTCAATTCCAGCCAAGGGCACGTACATACCTCGGTTGCAGGCTTGATCCCTGGCCTGGTTGGGGCACATGCAGGAGGCAACCAATTGATGTGTCTCTCTCACATCGATGTCTCTCTCTCTCTCTCTCTCCCTTCCACTCTCTCTGAAAAGCAATGGAAAAAATATCCTCAGGTGAGGATTTAAAAATAATTCCTTAGATCTACCTGAAACCACTGAACCCCAATCTCCAGAGCTAGGGTTTGGGGATCTCCATCTTTACTCTTCCCCCATCTGGGTCATCATGCTCCAAACCCCTGGACCTGAGCAACTGGCCCCCAGGAAAGATGCTCCCACACACTCTCCTGGGGTTGCAAACTCCAAAGTGCCCTGTGAAGGCCAGGCATTGCTGGCCCCAACCCTCGCAGTCTGCCAGGACAGCCACTCCTGTCTCTTGTTCACGGAGAAAGAAGCTCCAGTTCCTCACACCAAAGGAGTCGAGGTCATCCCGGCTGTGTCACTCACCAGTACTTTTCTGGGACACAGTCAACCACAGCAAGACTTAAAAAGCAATTTTAGAGCTGGATACTCCCAAGCCCCACGGTATGATAGTGGGGTGCGGAGGCTTTTCAGCCTGTAGGGTCAGGGGAAACTGCGAGTCCAGCACAATCTGTGTCTTGGTGTAAGATGAGCTCCGGCCGTGGCCACCTTCCGAAGCATTTGCTCAGTGATTCTCAATGGGGCCGATTCTACCCTCCCAGGGGACATTTGGCAACATCTGCAGACATGGTTGGTTGTCATAAATGTGAGGTGGGGTTTTGGCATCTAGTAGACAGAGGTCAGGGATGCTGCTAAGTATCCTATAATGCACAGGATAGCCTCCTGCAACAAAGAAGTCTTTGGCTCAGGACATCAATAGTGACACTACTGAGAAATTCTGGGAGAGATATGAGATGCCATCAGACACATGGCCAAGTCCTTGGCTACCTGAAGGCAGAGCGCTAATTCAGGTGTTGGGTTTGGGAGTAAGGTACCCTTAGCCTCAATCTGTTATTTATCTAGAAGGAAGGGACCAGCAGAGAAAGGCTTATAGGTTGAACACACATCCAGCCTCCTGTGTGAGCTGGGCTTAAAGACCCTTTTACTCTGATATCCAATGAATACTAGGACCCAGCTTAAGCCCTTGATCCTTCCGATATAGGTCATCACTTTGACGATAGCACATAGACCAAAAAACGTTCAGTTTTGGGGCTGCCTGACCAGATTTATTCCATACAGTTTCCCCAGGTGGTCTCCCCTCTTCACTGAGAGTTCAAACACAGACCATTTAGCTGATAAAATTGAATCTCCCACAAGTTAATGGAGTGGAACCAGCTCCTGGTGCAGATTGTAGCACAAATGCTGCCGTGGAAGCCAGGCTGGAGTGCCAATATGTTCTTTACAGTTGATTCGATGCAGTTCAGTGGTTGATGGTGTGTGGAGGCGGAACGCCTCCCGGTGGCCCAGTCCCCTCCTGTTTGCTCGGCTAGCACAGTCTCTTTCCCCCTATAAAGTGGATCTGGGCATTTTACAGCTGAAAAGGGAGCCATTCCATTTAAATTAATCAAGGGGCTGAAGGCAAAGGCACATTTTGTAGCTTTTAAGGACATTGACCTTGATTGACAAGGTCCCATGGCTTGGACCCTCCCTCCCAAAGCTTTAGCAACAGAACATTTCTTGACATCACTCATGCAGGTCTGCTGTCTTAGTTGTACTCACTTGGGCCTGTGGTTTTTCCACGCATCAGTTTAAGGGATGCCTATGGTCTGTCTCTGAGCATGGCACACATTTATTAGCCATAACCCTGTAACATTTCTCCTTTGTTAAATTAAAAGAAACTAGTAATTTTACTAAGGGAAAACCTACCTTTCAGCCACTTTTGACATTTTTAAACAATGTCTGTCAATCTGTGCATTCAAAAACGTTATCTAGGGAAAGACAGAACAGAGGTGTTAAGACCAAACTAGAATTTTCCCCCCCTTTCACCCCAGGAACCCAAATCCTGTATTTCTACCAAGATTCTAACACCTGTTCTCGACAGACTTCAGCTCTCCAGCAACCATTTGGCCTTTTGAAAATTCCTACCTCCGTGAGGATACGCAATACACCTATGTCATATATTCTCTAGTGCTGTGCTATAGCTTAGCACTCAAAGGTTCAAGCTGGGTTCTACTGTGGTTTCCAGGAGCTCAAAGCTCACTCAGCAATCAGAGGTGAACACTGAAAGGGTTTCCATCTGGCCACGTCTCCTGGGAGGGCAGGAGTCAGTTCATTCACCTGTTTCCGGATGTCCTCTTTTGTAGTTTTCCTGATTGGCTGACTGGGTATGTGCACAGGGCTCTGCGACTGGGACTCGTCTGTCACGCCATACACCGACTACAGAAGGAGCAAGAAAATGGAATCATGCACCCTCAGAGTTGAAGGGGACCTTGGGGGTGAGCCAGCTCAACCACTTGTCCGATGCTCCTAATCCCAACAATGAATGATCAGCCTCTGCTTGAATTTCCCCAGTGATGGGAATTCTGTCTCCGAGGCAGCCCTGTCCCATTAGTGGGTTACCACTGCTAGAAAATCCTTCCTTTTATTGAGCTGAAACTGTCTCCTTGTGTATCAGTGTTTCTCGAAACATGGTCCATAGACCATGTGCAAAGAATCATCTGGGGGTACTTGGTAAAGATGTACATTGCTGAGCCCCCAAGGACCTACTGAGTCAGAATCTTTGTGGGTGGGGCTTACGAATCTGTACTTTTATCAAATGCCCCAAGTGATTCTGAGACACAAGATAGCTCAAGAACAATTGCTGAAGGTTAGGCACAAAGATCCCGTCTAGACTCTGTTGGTCTGCCAATGACATACCCATCTAGTATAACTTGAGATGGCAGGGTTTCAGATTTTTTGTTTTTAAACTAAACAGTTTTCTGGCCTCAGTTTCTCCACATGCCCACAGCTATGGCTACTTTTCATAATTCTTTGTGTTAGAGACAGATTAAAGACAATCTTTTCTTTGGGAAGAAACAAAACCTCAAAGGGCATAAAATGCATAGCTGAAATCAGATAGGGCACAGAGAGGGTAGATGTGGAATCCATGAAATTCTGGAATAAAATGCTAATATAATTAGGAGACCCTTAAAGATTAAATGAGGCCATTATAAGAGTAACATTATAAAATATAATATGGTGAGTGGGTATCACTAGCTCAGCGAAGACTAAAATATGTAAGTAGATTCAAGAAGTTGAGATACACACACACACACACACACACACACATATATATCTATATGTCATGTCATATATATATATGAGAAAATGAAAGGATTGGTCATCTAGGACACATCTCTAACCTTCTGAAATTAATAGTATGGAGGACAGATATGTTCTCCCACAATATGGTCCCTGGTGCTGCTGTGAGGGTGGGATGTACTGATTGTGGCTCAGACTAAGTGTGGACCCTTGGGTACCCCATGGCCACTGCCCCTTTGGTATAGTGTACACAAGTGATCATTGGCTCATTCCCAGTTGGGCAAGATGACGATTTGAGTGTGGATGACCTAGCCATACTAAAAGACTTTCGAAGTACTGAGCTCACTTTCAACAGTGGGGTTTCCATACTTCTTGTTCCTTTAGTTTCCTTTCCTCCCTGCCTCCTCCAGGAAGCCAACTGCTGCTCACCCTTGAGACCTCGGCACACTTGAGCTAGCTTTGGAAGCCCTTGGGAGGCCCTGGTCTGGCGCCCCCTCCTGGCGCTGCTGAGCCTCTTGAGCTCCCCTAATGCAGCCCTCCTGGCACTGCTGCCCATTGGTTTGTTTCATCCCTGCCAGGCTGTGGGCTTTGTGAAGGCTTATTTCAGCAGCAAGAAGGGTGCTAAGCACACATCAGCCACTCCACAAATATTTGTAGAATAAATGAATGAAATGGTTTCAAGGGACGAAATGGGGTAGAATTAACAAATAGCAAATTATTGTTTGAACAGTAGCAGAAATGAAAGGGCCATTCACATCAAGAATTTTTAATTCAGCTAAACTTGCGAACCTTTTTAACCTTTTGTGGGTTCTTCAAACGTCGACACTTTCTGATATCCATTTCTGTGGTGTTCACACAGCCTGGCTGAGAAAAAAAATCATCACATACATTACAGAGTGAAAATCACCCTTCCCAACTGACACTATCAGAGCCAATCTCTATCTTTCCCTCTACATATAATGCAGGATTACCTCCATTTTGCCATTTACAATTTTTTACAAAGATGTAAACATGTTCCTCTCTAGTGCTCTCATATGAGATATAAAAGCTTATATTATCTCAGGATGATATGTAGAGGGTATAGTGTTCCGTTTATAAGAGCAAGCTCATTATGCGAAGTGACAAGGTGGCTTTGGTCACAGCCCTTGTTATTTCATATGTCTAACTGACTAAAAACACTCCAGTATCGGAATGGGGAATTATTTCTTTAGCTTTGCTCTCTTAATCAGTTTTTAGGAAGGCTGAAATAGCTTATTCATTTTAGTTCCATTTCAGGAGGGAAATGCAAGATTTGTTCTAATAGTAAGAGATGAGAAATACAAACATCATGGATTTTGTATTTGTGAGTTTGCCTGCCTGCTAAGACTTATTTATAACCCCGAAGTTAATACTTGTGTTGCATCCATGATCATTCATGGGCATCTACAGAGCAACAAGAAATTTGAGTTTCCAATGTACATGTTCCCAGCTGAGGTTGAGTAAGGTGACACTCTGCCTTCTTGTTTCAACTTTCATACTGTAAATAAGTGTCCTTTTCAAGGTCTATTTAGTGCCACTATTTGCACATTTCTGTGTTTGTTTTTTTGTTGGTGACTTTGCTCTTTAAAGTGGCCTCAAGCGTAGTGCTAAAGTGCTGCCCAGGGTTCTAGAGCAAGAAGCCACGATGTGCCTTACAGAGAAAATGTGTGTTAGATGAGCTTCTTCCTGGCATGAGATGTAGTGCTGTTGGCTGTGAGCTTGATGTTAATGAATCAACATTGTATAGTAAGGTGCCTTTAGACAGAAGCACACATTGAACAAGGTTAGGCATTGATCGGTTGATGCAGTGGTTCAATGCAGCGGGTCAGCAATGGTTCACGTTCACGGATTCAGTGTTCGTGGGTGCTTTTTGGAACGTAACCGTGAATTGCAAGAATCAGCTGCATTTGAAATAGAATATTCTAAGATTTAGAGTTGAACCCCAGTAAATATGGAAATTGCTCATTTGGGGACTGCAAACTTCCGGGGCCCAGAGGTCCCAGGTGGAATTCCTGCAGCTCCCCATTTCCAATTCCATATTTTCATGGATGGGTAATTTATAAAAGGTAGAGCTGGCATGCACTCTGGGAAATCTACTGAGGTCATGTAAATGAGAGGCAAAACCATTTCACAAAGCTTCGTTTTCTTAAGAAGGAGACATCTGGTGGCTAAAGATGGTCATTTCTTTTAAGCGAAGGAAATGAGGAAATAAGAAAACCTAGGGAACCCAGCAGAGCTTTCTCACCACTGGCCTGTGGACATCCCAAAAGGCCCGCTCTTGACTATCCAGAATTTTCCTTTCTGTCTTGTCCTTTTTCCGATCAATCCTGAAAGAGGAAAGGAAGGAAATCAGAGGCTTTTGTCTTCTGTTTCCCCTGCTCCTAGGAGCTGAGAGCACACAGGACCGTTGGCACGTGTGTGGGCCCGGCTCTGCGCAGAGCTGCGAAACGTGGGTGCACAGCTACCTCAGGGGAACCTCAAGAGGTCCACACACGGCGAGAGAGCTTGCTTTAGGTTAGACTGCAAATTCCCACACACATGTGACAAGCACGGTGGGCCTAAGGAGAGCAGGAGCGCACTGTGCATTCGAATGGTAACGATCTGGATTATTGAGACCTGAGTCGTCACTGGCGTGCCCCCGCCCATCCGAGTGGATGCTGCGCACTCAAACGATAGGAAGGAACAGCCACAGGCCTGCAGCGTTTCATCTGCAAATTTGAAAGTTCGCTTCAGAGTCAGTAGAAATGTCTTCAAAATGCTGCAAGTATGTGTTTTACGAGTCACGTAAAGCAGCTCTCTTTCTAAAGCAGAGTAACAGCCTTGGCGTGTGACAAGATTCAGAAGGCAAGTATCACGGGCCGCCACCCGGGGAGGCACAAACTGCGAGAGGGAAATCGCAGGTGACAAAGGCAGATTCTATGTTCTGACCAGGAACATAGATAAGGGGCTTTAAAATAAAAAAAAAGCCTGTGTTACTTCATATTACCTCTCCAAGCAAAAAGTATCTCAGATTAATTGCTGGGTAACTCCTGGTTCTGGGCTCTCTTGGGAGTACTTTAGTTTATTAGACTGAAATAAAGCCATAATCACCCTGTGATTTTTGTGATAATTACTGTGTACTTAAATGGCCCACAATTACAATGCAGTCACAAAGTTAATAAAAAAAAAATCAAGAAATACCATATATGTACAAAGTGACGATCCCCCCTCCTTTTACAACATACGATGCTGTGTGGTTCTGGAAGTGCAATGAACGCTCCTCTTTGCCTCCCAGTGGCTTCTGAGAACACAGTTCAGCTCGATTCTGCCTCCTTCTCACCCGCTCATCCACCTCCCCTGCTCCCTTCTTCCTCAGGGGCCTGGGCTCCTGCTGCAGCTCAGCACCCAGTCCTGGGGTGCACCTCCCTCCGGGGCTGCTGGGAGCACTGGGGTGGACAGCAGGTGGCTGGAGTCATGGGTGGGGGAAAGGCAGAGACTGCAGAGGGAGGGTGAGAGTCATGGCACTGTGCCTGCCACTGGGCCCAAAGACCTCACGCCATTTTCAGCCGTATGTGTGATCAATGCTCACCCACACAGCCTGAGACTCGGTCCTAGGCCTTGGGCTGCAATGCTGCCCAGAGAATGCAAAGGGGTCTCCTCCAGACCCACAGAGGGCTCTGCTCAAGTGCAAACGGTGCCCAGAGGAAAGGGACTCGCTTCCCAGCTCAGTATGCCTTTCCCTCCCCTCCTCTTTTGTTAATCCTCCTGGCTAAACCATGGACCACTGCTGGAAAGGACAAGAGGGGACCCGACCTGAGCAAGTCCATGTCCCAGAATGAAAAGGGTCTGGTAGACAGACATGTTTGTGGCTGGGGGACTCTCACTGCCCATTTCTGTTTCCTTAGAGAAGAGGGAATTTCCACTCTACTCCCTGCAAGGGGAAAATGTGGGAAAACACTCCAACTTTTCTCCTTCTTTCATCTCGTGTCCTCCAGGGAGGAAGAGTGACAGCTTACTGGAGAAGCTGTCACAATTTGAAAGAAGAAACTGAGAAAGCTCAAGTTGGTTCTTTCTGAACGTCTGTTCTCTGCAGGCAGTAAGCTGACCAGGGTCAACTCTGCCCTGGTCGGGGGGCCTGAAGATAAGCAACTCTGCCCAGGATGGGTGACTTTACGTCATGTGCTATATCTAGCTTTTTTCAGTAATAATCTGACATTTTGGACTCCAAGTACCTGACTTCTGTGCCTCATTTTTGATTGGTTCTGAACCTCTGGGGAGGGGGTTTGGGGAGTGGCCACTTGTTGACCTCCCTAAAACTCCACCACGTTTTCCTATGAAGAAGGTATCTCCAGATCTATAGGTAAAGTCAGGCTGGTGTTTTTCAGCCTCTGAGCACAGAAGAAGAATCGAAAATCTCTTTGGGGACTACATACATCTTCTTATAACAAGAGTTTTACATTCGGGAGGAACCCCATTGTCTGCTGGAACACACACTTTGGAAATCATTTTATAGTGCCATTGGTTACAGAGGTGACCTTGATTTCGACTTAGTTGTTCTCCTGAGAGATGACAGTGACTAACCACAGCTGGCCGGCTGTAGAAGGAAACTTCACTTTGGCAATCCCACGCTCACACCCCCTCCAAATTCCAGAGACTTTCTCTCTTTGCAAGGGTCTCTACCAAGTTCACCTACTTCACTTGTGCCTCTGCTTGCATAAAGATGAATTCCCACTTCCTTGCGAAGGCCCTCTGGAGTCTTGCTAAGTTTTCCTAATAGAAATGAAAATGAACAAGAAGGCATTAATCATTGTAAGTTTGCACATCAATACCTATGCTTATTACAGGGCAGCCATCTATTTTGTTTACTCCCAACAAAACAGCAGGGCTCTAGCTTAAATCCACTGGACATGAACCCAATTTGACTTTGCACCAGAGCCTGCTGTTACAGAGCAGAACTATTAATATTCATTCACACACCCGTTAAGTCTGAAGTCCCTGTGGTTCACCTGATTCCTTTCTTCTTATGTTTCACAAGAACACGACTCATGCAGCCCTTGTCATAAAGGCTACTGAAGATAGCGAGAATGGTTTGTGGCTATGCATGCGGGGTTTGGGGAAGGGACAAAGGGGTCTTTGCAACTTGCTGGACATCTCTGAGAGCAAAACTAAGAATGGGTTTCTCAAGACTCAGCTCCCAGCAGGGATCTTAGAAGGGGACAGGAAAGACAAGCCCAGAGGACTTGGCATTCTTGTCTTTCAAAGTCTAGGTTCACTAGTGGGGGGAAAAGGAGTACCTGTGTCTGTGATATTCATGGAAGGAAAACCCCAAAATAGAAAGGAAGAAAAGGCATGCAGGGTTGCTGTTAGAGGAAGAGGGAGGAAGGCTTTTCTCTAAGTCTGTAGACTTACCCGGTGGCACAATAGGACAGTGAGGAAGGGCAGTTGACAGGTGCCCTAATGATCCGCCTAATTCTGATGGAATGCAAGGCTGGAGCCTACATTATGCTGTGTGTTTTCATAAAGCTTATGCCAACACTAATTGATGACTCTCATTAGTGGATTATTAATATAAAAGGGGCCTCAGTTGAAGATCAACCCACATAAACTCAGTTATTATTAAGGCTTAGTGTACAAATACCTCAACAAAACTGTCCTTTTGATTCTTCCATTGTTTATGGGAAGCAAAGCTGGTAATGCCTAAATGTCAGTCAATCGGGGAGCAGTTATGTAAATTATAGCACAGTGATAGCATGGAATACTAGGCAGCCACTAAAAATGATAATGTAGATTATTATTACTGACATGAAAAGATTCCCAACATACTTAACAGCATAAGACTGAGGAAAGAAGTGGCTTATACAGTAATGTTTATGGCCTGATTCAAGTCTTTTTGTAAAGAAAAAAATGTATGTACAGGAAAAAGCTTTGGGCAGCAGGATCATAGGTTCTTTTCTCTCCTTTCTTTGCTGTTTGAATTTTTGTTTTTACCAAGAGCATATATAATGATAAAATTACTGTGTTTTGAAAACAAAATACTTATTTTCATTTCTAACCACTTCCAGGCAGAACTTCAACCTGAAAGAACATTTTAATGCCAATTCTTCACAAATACCAAAGCAGCACATTATATGGCAAGAGAATTGAAAATGGAATAAAACACATTAGGAGTTGATGCTGCCTTGTTTCTGTTTAAGACCTTTTCTAAAACACGGTAAACAAAGAGAGACAGAGGATGGAGGGGCCACATGCCCCTGCAGTGTGGGGCTTTTCTACAGGTGGCATTAGGGAAGGGATGTAGTCATGCCGAGGTCAAAGCCCTTTGTGCGGGGTGCACACAGGGTAAGATAGCAGTCTTCTGAAAGAGGTTTTGGTGTGAACATAAGTTCTGGCTTCTCTAATGGGATGACTTGGTTATATGGTAACTGCCTGTTTAAATTTATGAGACACTACAAACCGTTTCCCACAGTGGCCGTACCATTTTACGTTCCCACCAGTGATGTAGGAGAGTTCCAGTCGCTTCACACTCTCACCAGCGCTCGGCATCATAGTTACTTTTGATTTTAGCCACCCTCATACGTGTGCAGGGGTATCTCGGCAGGGATTTAACCTGTGATTCCCTAATGGCTAACGATGTTGAACATTTTTTCATGTGCTTATTTGTCATCCTTCTGTCCTCTTAGGTGAAGTGTCTGTTCAGGTTCTTTGCCCATTTTTAAGTTGAGTTGTTTTTTTATTGCTGAGTTTTGAGAAACTCAGCAATAAAAATTCTTTATAGAAAGATGCAATTTTATTGTGATGGTAAGAGGAGCTGAGAACGAAGGAGGGAGAATAGAAGAGACTTCCTTTCCACTGTCTGAAAAGGACTGGGGAGTGAAAAAGGGAAAACCACCAACTCAAACACAGTTGTAGATGAGTGTGTACTCTCCTCCCACACCTACCCTGGAAGATAATCATACTTACTGCTTCATAGTCTGCCAGTTCCAGCCGTGCTTTATTCTGCATTGTCCTCTTACAGAGATAGATGGCTGAGGGAAGAAGAGAAATTATAACATGTACAAAACCAGTGTAGTGGAACCCATCCATCCGTCCATCCATCCATCTACTCATCCATCCATTCATCCAGCCAGCCCAGCTGGATAAGTGCCCAGCTATGCTGTGAAGAATATGTTTCTAGGTGGAATCCATGACAGCCCATCTCTAGGAATCTTTCTACAGTCAGGGTCAGACAAGGACCCCATCTTCTAAGCCTGACAACTCCCCTCCATCTTTCTTCTCTCTTTTACCCCACACATCCTCCATCAGGATGATGTTTCTCAAACATAACCATGTTACCCTCCTGCCTAAGTGGCCTGCATTGACTCCCCAGTGACCTCAGAAGAAAGGTCGGGCTCCTCAGAGTAGCATATTTGGCTCTTTAAGACCCAGTCTGCTTGGCCCTTCCCTTCCCCACTCAGGCATATGAGGCTACCAAACGTCTCTCAGCTCCACTCCTCTGCGGATGTGTCTGCTCCATCGAAGCCCTTTCCCTCTTCTCTCTTCTTTCCCTCTATCTAGCAACCTCCTCCTAATCTATAAAGACCCAGCTTGATGTTCCAGATAGCTCGGTGTCCCATCTACCCATCCTCAGCCATGGAGCCTAATTCCAGTGCACTGTAATTGTGGATTACTAGGCCGTGCCCCGCTCTAGGCTGAAGGCTCTTCAAGGGCAGAGGCTGTGTCCTACTCAGCATGAATCCCTGTACCTGGGCCTGGTCAGCCAGTGGAGTCAATGAGCAGTGGGAAAAGAGGGAAATTTAGGTCACTCTTCCCAAGCTAAGGAAGGGTTCTTGGCCCTAAGTTGCCAGGACATCCTTCCTCAGACCTGGCCTTCATTATTGCCTCTCCCTGCCTCGGCTCCTTCAGTATCTCTCTCCTTCTCCAGTGCCAAGTAGACCCGTCCAGGGAAGACCAGAGATGAACGGCATGAATAACAGCAGAATAACCGGGAGGGAAGGCCAGAGAAGACCCATCTGTTGTTTGACAACTTAAGTACAGCAAGATATCTAGGCATCTCCTTGCTGAATTAACCAGCCTCTTCCATGTTGTCTAACAAATTTACCGACGGCAGCCTAGGGTATGCTGGAACCTTCTGCTCACACCAGAGTTGTCTGTGGATGAGAGTCAGTTATGTTTGTTCTTAAATCTGCTTATGTTAGGCACAATTGTTATTTTAATAATGTAAGTGCACTAAATATTACACACACTGATACAGTTAATGTGAAAGGAGCGAGAGTTGTTTCTATGAAGTTGAATGGTTCGGAACAACTTGATAAAGGAGTGTAGGCTAAGACAATTGCTGATGAATTTGGTGCAGGTGAGATAACGGAAAAAGTGAGAAAAAATAACGAAAATTTCAGAGAAGTAAACATGCGGGTTGCTTCAAAAGTGATTTTAAATTTTTGATGTACTTTAAAGATGCCCAAAATGGATGGTTTATTTTGAGTACAGTTTACTTAAGAAAAAAACTCAAATTATTGGGACCCATAACCACAGTGACTTTTTGGTCCTACCTTAAAAAGCTACTGAATGAATATTCCTTTGTATGTCTTACATTAATATGAAGTCATTAAAGTATGTATACATCATTTTTCACGATTCTTTATTTACCAACTTTTAAAATGAACCAAGCAGCTATAGCTCTCTACTGTGACTGAAAAAGGTACTCTTTTTGGTTTCTTGGACCACCAGTTAGGCAGCTTGTGGGATTGGGGACAACCTGGAGCAGGAAGCCTGGCATGTCATCAGCCCCAGCAGGCCTGGTCTCGATGATGCAGGAGCAGTGCGGGTCAGAGGAGGTGGCGGCTGTTTTGACAATGCTGCCTCAGACAGTGTTTTCTCTTGGCCAAATGTGAAACTCAGGAAAGTCTAGGTCAGGTTGGGGCTTTATTTAGGCAGAATCATCCTGAGAAATTTACAACCCATCTGGGTCAAAATGGGCCAGCCAGTTTATGAAGTATAAAGTATTCTGTGCAAGGAATGAAGAGCTGGTACTATTCCCGATGACCGTGAGTTACATGGTGACATGTTTTCAGCCTGCTTCCCCTGAATGTCACGTATTAGGGGATCTGTTCACCAGAACTAAGGAGCTAGGATGTGGCTATGGAGTGGACCTCTCTGCTGGGCACAGACCTTCCCTGGGCTTGACCTCCCTACCATGGCGCCTTCAACAGAGCTTGCTCTAACATCTAACCAATCAAACGACTGCTGGCAACAGCAGCCAGCCCTATAATAGGGCATCTGGGGGACTTGTTTGAAGCCCAGATGTTGAATTTTCCTGGATATTTAATTTCTCATTGAAGAAGCTCTGTCTTCTTGCCCTCATACCTGCCATTCCCACCCTACGGGCATCTCACTTGGATGACCCACTGCCATCACGAGCTCAGTGTGTCACCATGACAAAAATAGAACACGTTGCAGAGGGTGAACTGGTGGTTGCCAAAGGGGAGGGGAGTTAGGGGGTTGGGTGAAAGAGGTAAAGGGATTAATAAGTACAAATTGGTAGTTACACAATAGTCACGGGGATATAAAGTACAGCATATGGATTATACTCCATAATATTGCGATACTTATGGATAGTGCCAGGTGGTTACTGGAAATATCAGGGGAATACTTTGTAAAGTATATGATTGTCTAGCTATTGTGCTGTAAACCTGAAACCAATACAAAATAATACTGAAAGTAAACTATAATTGAAAAATAAAAATAAAATACACAAACAGTCAAAAAACAGAACACATTAAAAAAATTTATAAACAGAATGGATTCCTGTGCTACATGTGTAACTAAACATTTAAAAAAATACTGACCTTATCCTATTTCAACGTACTTAAAAATCTGACTCCTTTTCAAAAATATCTATACTAGTGACATCATTATTAACCACAATCCCCTAAATGAGGAGATTGCATTTCTCTATTTTCCTTATATTTTCTAATTACGTTTTAGAGCAATGGGATTTTAGCATTGAAAGTGACCTTGGCAACCATCAAGTGTGGACGCCTCATGGACAGATGGGAAAACTAAAGGCCATGAGAGGTGAATTGATTTACTCACAGGCTAGGTGCTGGTGGAGGTGGGAACAGAATTAAGGCCCAGTGCAGAGCTTCTCCCACCATGACATTCATTGCACCACTTACTTACCCATTCCCCATTTAAGAACGTCAGGAGCTGTTTCAGGTGCCGGGAAGTCACCGTGCCAGCAGCTGCCACTCACAGGGCTCACTGAATGCCAGGCACTGTGCCAGGGGCCTTCCAAAGGCTCTCTCACTCCATCTTCTCAATAACCCCAGGAAGTGGGTTCCATTACTACCCTCATTTTATAGACGAGGAAACCTTTTCAGGTCATCCTCCATTACCGGGGATCCACAATGGCTCCCTAAAACTGCCAACTCCATTAGAAATGTCTCTCCTTGACTAGAAAGGCTTTTTAATAAACCTGCTCCTCCCAAACTATCCACCCTTCTCAGCCGTTCTTCACCAACGTAAGACCTTTGAATACTCCGATCAGGCTCCTCACGGTGCCCTTCTTACCCCTATCATGCCGCCTCCCTGGAAGGCTTGGAGCACGAGACAATGCCACGCATGGGACCATGAAAGGAGCATGGGCCTTGGAGCCATTTGGATCTGAGTTCAAATTCTGCTGCGTTGCCTGGTGGGCGTGGCTCAGTAGTTGAGCATCGACCTAGGATCCAGGAGATCGAGGCTCGGTTCTCAGTCAGGGCACATGCCTGGGTTGCAGGCTCGATCCCCAGTGTGGGGCCTGCAGGAAGCAGCTGATCAATGACTCTCCTCTCATCAGGTGACAGCAGCTGACACAGAGTAGGTGATCAATAAATGTTTGCTGAATGAATGAAAGTTCCTGGTTCTTTGTCGATCCAAACCATACCTATTCTGAATTCTTAGCTTCAGTTTCACATCCTTTCTGGTAAGAGGGCCACCACAGAACCAATAAGATCACACATCACCTTAGGAGTAGTAATACCAACGAACACTGAGGTTTTATTTACTCCTTACGACGTGCCACACACCAAACATCACTGGCATTTCATTTAAACCTAATGAAACAACACTAGGAGACAAGTACTATTATTTTTCTGCTTTTACTATGAGGTTTCTGAGGCACAGAGGGGTTAAGTAACTTGCTAAAATCACACAGCTAGTGGAGCTAGTCAATGCTGGGCCCATTGTGCTGAATTCTCTCTTGGTAAATACTTATTTTATTTTCTGACTAACCTGCTTTGGAAGTGCTGGTGAGTGATTTTGAATCCTGCACCTTAATTTCTCCATCTGATTTGCCAAAATCGAGGCATACAAATTAAAAATAATTTTGCTTTAATGAGAGCCTGATATAAACTGTTATGTCTATCCCTGTTTATGCTGCACAACTAAAATTAGAAAATGGAGAAAACCTATAGAGAAAGGGAAAATAATGCCTGTTATATGCAGTGTCAGATGGCCTACACTTTATATTCAAGTAAATATTTTAATCTTACTCGGGCCCAGGTACCTGGTCGTCCCATCCTCCCACCCTCTCTATTGTCTGGAAAGATATTGGTTTCCACCTCACAAGGGCCCATGGCTGCTGCATGAAGCAGCTACAATCATTCAAATTCCGAGTTGGACTTTTGTTAGCAAAATTTCAGCCCCAGAAACACTTGTTTTATGAGCAGCCAAATGCAGCTCCCATTCTGAGCCAGAAGCCTTGCTGGACCCACTTATCACATCGTTTAGGGCGCAGCACAGTTTGAGAGGGACCCGCAGGCAGCTGATGAGACAGCAGAGGGGCCTGTCCTCTGTGTAAGGGCCATTTTCCAGACTTGGAAACAGAACATCTGTAACCTTATTAGGAATGCCTTGTCCTCAATTCCATCCTTAGGACTGCTTCCAATGCTAGTTACCCCTCCCTCAAATGTGTGATCCGGAGGGTGTAGCTTATGACACAGGTCTCCTGGACTGGCTCCCTGGAACACCACCCAGACACAGCTGTCTCTGCCTTCCTGGGTCCACAATCCCGCAAGGGGCCTGGGAGAAGCTGCAGGTCTCAGCAAGTGTCCCAGTGCCGAGGAAAGCCACTGTGACTGCCCAGCAGCTGAGTCAGTGACAAGGATGCTGTGCATAGGGGCAAGTGCTGCTGAGACAATGAAAGGAGCATGGGACCATGAAAGGAGCATGGGCCTTGGAGCCGTTTGGATCTGAGTTCAAACTCTGCTGCATTGCCTGGTGGGCGTGGCTCAGTAGTTGAGCATCGACCTAGGATCCAGGAGATTGAGGCTTGGTTCCCAGTCAGGGCACATGCCCGGGTTGCAGGCTCGATCCCCAGTGTGGGGCCTGCGGGAAGCAGCTGATCAATGACTCTCCTCTCATCAATGATGTCTCTCTCTCTCTTTCCCTTTCTCCCTTCATCTCTCTGAAATCAACAGAGACCTATTTTTTAAAAATGTACACTATAGTTGGAGATATGTAATATTTATTTTTAAAAATTCTGCCGCATTCACTGAGTACCTACTAAGCGCCTTTAATAAAGAACCAGAACCATCAGCAAATACTCAGTTAATATGAGCTATGCCTCACATGTACACTGGGGGTAGGAGAAAGAACAAGGTGGACCAGCCCCAGCCTCCTGGAGCTCCCAGACAAGTAGAACACAGTGTGATAACTGTGATAAATGTGAGGATGTGGTCTTGCTGGGCCTCGGGTTCTTTATCTGAAGTAGAGGGAGAGTATCATTGCCTTAGAGGACTGGCACATAGAAATATTAGACAGTCTCCACAGAGAGCAGAAGGCAAGAGTGTGATAGGTTCTTCCCTTATAAAGGTAACTCCCTGCTTACCCAGCTCCAGCTTTACCCACTCTTCATTTTCCGAGGCCAGGGTGACTTCTGTGTCCCCCTCTCTGGCCTGTCTCCATTTTCCCTTACATTCCAACTATCAAAAACACCAATGGGTCATTAACAAGTGTTAGCAAGTCTGTGAGAAGAGAAAGGGTCAGGGGGAGGTGGCCCCTCCCAGGAAGGAACAGTCACAGCCACTGCCCTGCAGGGTTGCCGTGGGATCCTAGTTTTCCACGGCCCCATAGAATGAACATATTGGCCACCCCTGATAGACTTCTTCCTTCCCCCATTTCCTTCCCATGGCTGCATCTTTCAGTGGGCTCTGCCTTTCTTCATTATGTGCACAGGATGTTTATTACATGTCAACAGTAGGACAAAGGGCTGAGCAGGGTAAAGAACCTCTTCCCCATGCACTCGGTCACCAGGCACCAAGCATTTGTCTTCCACACTCTCCGGAGTAGCACTAAGTGTGGGCTATGCCTTTACTGCTCACCATAGTCTGTGTTTTCGGGCTCCCAGCAGTTTGATGGCCAGAAGTATGGAGCCTGCAAAAAAGCAGAGGTGTCAGGACTCAGAAGCACGTCAGCACTTGCCCTCCCCTGCCTAGGGGTTCGGGTTAGCCCTCCCCTGCACCAGTGAGGACCCCTCCCTAGGAGAGGCTCTGTCTCCATCTCCTCATGGTGACACCACACCCCGACCCTCTCCTGTCCTTAATGCACCTGAGGCCAGTCAGCATTTTAATCTAGGTGTTGAAAAATGAATCCAGGTAAACAAAATGAATGTGAAAATGAGGAGCTTAGTCTATAGGGCAAACATTTCTTATCCTTAGACAATAGAAGTCTAACTACAGAAGTCAGGTTGGCACAGTTTACTGGGCTCAAGCCCCAAGTTCCTGAATCGTGTCCCCCCCAAGTTCATATGATGATAAAGCCACAACCCCCTGTGGCTGTATTTGGAGTAAGGAAGTAATTAAGGTTAAATAGGGCCATTAGGGTGGGACCCTGATCCCATAGGATTAGTGTCCTTAAAGGAGGAAATAGCAGGTCTCTCTCTCTCTTTCTCTCTGTCTCGAAAACACAACAAGCAGCAGCTGTCTGAAAGCCAGGATGCTCATCATAAAACAAACCCTACTGGCACTTTGATCTTGGGCTTTCGGCCTCCAGAACTGTGAGAAACCAGTGCCTGTTGTTTAAGCCGCCCATCTGTGGCACTTGGTTATGGCAGCCTGGGCAGACTAGGACAGCCTTTGGCCCTGCCAGAAGAACTCTGCTTCCAGCCCTTTTGGTTTCGGCCTTGGCACAATCCCTTATCCTCTGCCCCAGATCTAGGACAGGATCTGAGAAGTGGAGTGGACAGTGGGTGGGAAGGGGTAGCAGGCAGTGAATAGGAACTGCCCAGCAGGAAGTCAGCAGGACCCAGTAGAAAGGTCAAGGGCTTTGCTATCAGGCTGACTTAGTTCCAACCAAGGCTGTCTCTTAGATTTACTAAGTGCCCCATTAATTCTCTGTATGCCTCAGTTTTCCCATCTGTAAAATGGCTGATATTTGCCCCCCAGAAGTTTGTCCTTCAGAATAAATGAGGAAAAAAATGTATAAATTGTCCAGTAAATAGTAGGTTCTTCATGAAGGTTTTTTTGGTATTATTTGGGTAGAACAACAAATGGCCCAGACAAAAGTTTTCTTGAAAACCTTTCTTGGTTTTCCCCGAGCTGATGGGAAGTAAGGGTTGCCCCCTTAAATGCCCTCAGGTTGTTTTTTATTAAATGTGGCTCTAATCTGAGATCAGGGATGATAGAAAAAGTCCTTTTGGGGGAGGAGCTGGCAGGCCTACCTGGAAGCGATAAAAGGTGCCGTCCTCCTTCACGGTGAGAACGTGGTCTGAGATGGGAAAGATGTAGCCCTGGGCAGCTATAAGGCTTCCCAGGTGTATTGCTTCAACTGCGGGCCAGGGTGCAAGAGAGAGAAGTCATTAGGGAGCCGTCAGAGTGCAGGGCTACTTAGCTGAATGTAAGCTGAGAGCAGAAAGGCAACGGGAGTCAACCGCCACCGCCCCTAGATAGCCGCACGCTGATGGATTGATTGATAACTTTATGATATGATTGCATCGGGCTGGGGTGGATGTCGACGGCTGGGAGGCGCTGCCAGGTGTCTGGGCTCCTCTGGGCCCCAGCTCTGAGAGTCTGATGCTGCTCTCACCTCCCCGCCTCCAAGGCTTCCAGAAGAAAGTGCTCGTGGTCAGGAGCATGAGCTCTGGTGAAGATCAACCTGCTAGCTGAGGTATTTCACGTAAAGTGCTCAGCAGTGTCGGGCAGGGAAGGGCTCAGTAAGCGCTGGCGGCCCTGACCCATTTATCCTCATCCTTTCTGTCCTCAGCAGTGTGCACGCAGCCTCACCGCCCGCAGAGACTCCGGGCTCACGCTGCATTCCCCGACGGGACGGTCCCTTCTCTTAGGGACATAAAGCCAAACCTCACTTTTGTGGTGAGCACTGTAGTGGGCAATGGCACAGGGAGGCCAATCTGATAAATTATTTATATTTTTGCCACAATCAACACGCTGTTTTGTTACTTTAGCACCAGCCATAAATAGATTCACATAAATCATTAAGAATGTATATTTCTTCTGAGCAGAGCTAAGAAAAAGAATGAATTTAAATGATTCTACTATGCATGATAATATAAAAGTAACCTTTACAAATATAAAAGTACTTTTTCTGGTAAAAAACTAATTTTTCCATGTAGAAATTATTGACATGAAGAGGGATCTCTAGGAGTTATTAATTTCACAAGCTCTAAAAAATATTTTAAGCAACTTTTTTGGCTTCACTTGCCAACTTTTCAAGGGGTTGCATATAACCCAAGCGTTGTGTTTATAAAGAATCACCTATCCTTCAGAAGGAGCGTACACAGGTAACTGGTGGAATAAGAAAGAATAGAGCTTTATTTTACTTGCTTGGGGATGACCAGATTGCTTTTTAAAGTCTATATGCTTGAAGAATCATGGGTCCAGCGACAAAGGGAAGTTTCATCACCTGCAGCTGCTCCTTTCCCAGGAAAGGTAAGAATAAAATCCAGCACAAAGGTGACTTTCATGTCACCAGTCTAGGAGCTAGAACTCTGGCTTCATTCTTTGACCAAAAGGGCTTTTGCTTAGAATGTGGCAGACGGCGAGAGGAATGGGACAGAGGGGTGGAAGTTAGACTGTCCGTCTTCCCACGGCCTTAGTTTGCCTCGTTTCCACCCTTCTGTTCCCAGCTGGTGAATTGTTCTTAACTCCTCCTGCTCAGCCACTTCTCAGACAGCAGACAGTTCCCAACACCTGGCTGTTCTCTCAAGGGCATCGGGTAGGTAGAGCTGACCTTCAGACATGACCTTTATCACTGTGCACCTTTCACAGAAGCTCCTCATACTAGGGCTGGAGAGGATTCCTGGACCTACTCTCCTGCCACTGGCTGGTCGAGGGTTCTCAGACCACTACTACTAACCACTACCATTACTACCACTACTACTGCTACTACTACCACCACCAACAGTAATAAAATATGTCAGTAATACAATGATTATTTTAGAAGGGCGAGGAGAACAGGGATCCTGGAAGAAGAGGCCACCATGAAGAAAGGTGGTCCTTAGTTTAGCATCATAATCAAATGAAATGTTGGCTTTAAATACACGTAACTAAACTGGTAGAGACATATTCAGTCCAGTTTTAATAGGTGGACAATCAGAAGAAGCCAGGCTGCACAGGGAAAACACACAGGCTGGTTCACTTGGGCTCTTTCCTTCAAAGGATTGGCAGGTATAGTTTTCCCCTGTGGATAAAGCTCTTGACTAGAATTAAGAATTCTCACTAGTCGTGAGATGGTCATTAATCAAGGTGGTAAAAAAGACTACTGTCACCTCCATTAATGACCTGCTTTTCTGGCACTCAGGTTTCTGGCAACTATATTTAATCAAACTCTATGTAAACTGTATTGTTGTGTAGTCAATAGTATGTTAGGAGCATCAGACTAAAATGCAGGAGTGCCCGAGCTGACATACTGACCTCGGCAAGGAATCACAGCTCAAGGTCAGACACCTAGAAAGGGCACTTGGAAAAAATCTTTAAAAAGCATAGCAATTGGAGGCCATTTAATTTGGGTCAAATAGGTCTAATCCATAAGAACATTAGAATACATGTGTGGGTATTTATAAATATGAAATACAGGCATCGAGAACATTCAGTTAGGACAGAGGCTGAATAATAAATTCAGAAAAGCATTAACTAACAACACATGGGTAAAAAGCTATACTTATCTAGAATTTTCATTTTTCTGGAACTCCCCATTTTCTAATTATGCCGTGAAAATAAATTTTACTGCTTATTTACTGGTGGGAGGACAGATTTGGAAACTGTAATATTGGCTAGAGTTTGGCTGTTGTTCTTCTGGTAAGGTTTTCCTAATTGAAATGCATAATTAAAGTTGAAAAAAAATCATTCCTTCACTTCTTGCAGAAGCAAAAAACAGAAGGCATCTTAGCAAATAATTAAACATCTTAATTGTGGACCAGGCAATCTAATTTTAAGATCCAGCTCTAGAAGGCTGTGCAGCGACAGTGCTACAACTTATCTTTAATTGCTGTGGCTAATGAGAATTCAACTCATTTCACACGTTGTTGTATTGGACTCTTTGGCATTCTCAATGGTTGCTCATTTCCTCAAAGGATGATTTAAATTTAAAGATAGATATTCAGTGGAGAAAATAAATCAACTTCATTTGTAAGTTAGAGGGATTCCACATCTCGGGATTCGCATATAGTCCCGGTTCTCAGGAGGGTAGCAGGGTCTAGTCTGGAACTTGGCTGTGGGATAGTGACTGAT